ATTTTTGTTTTCATTTCATGTTTTGCTTTGTTTTATTTTGTTCTGTTCTGTTTTTCATTTTTTTTTTTTTTTTTTTTTTGTTTCCTTTCTTCTTTCAAATTCAACATGTTTCTATTTGCTGAGGCGATCATACGAGGCGTGCAGGTGTGTATGCGTGGTGGAATAAATGGCGGATGGAGATGCGCTTTTCGCGTGACCCTGTTGTGTAGAGGACGCGAAAAGGATACACAGGGGGTGTAGAACAGAAACGAAAAGAGAACGACACGAAGATAAGCAAACGCAGAGCAGCGTAGCACAATGAAGCAAAACGATTCGTGTCGTAAAACAACGCGACGTGGCACAACAGGAAGCAGCACAACTGCTCGCGGAGATACAGATCGATTTTGCACAACGGAAGAATACCTGCACATTCAGGCAAAAAAAAAAAAATAATAAAATAAACATAAACATATATATTTATTAACCTGGTGTGTATAAACCGTGCGTTGATGCCCTCCCTTGTGGTTTTCGATTGTCACCCCCGCGTGTACCACACCACGAAGCTAAAACAGAACGGCAAAATGGAACATGTCATAAGGAATACACAACACGCACGTCAAAATGTGGGCACTTAAGAATGTGACCAAGTGAAAGAAGCGCGGAAAAGGTCCCCGCGTTTATGCCCCTATGTTGGTACACGCCCTTTGTGCTGTTCGATACTTGTAGAATATCACAGAGTTATGTGCCTCCTTTGGGGGCACTCGACAGGAGGCATTTTTATTCATGTGCAAAAAGTTCGATGATGTGTGCAGAGCACCCACGAGAAAAAAAAAGAAAGAAAATGAACATAGTTCTGATGTGACCCGCGATTGCACAGGTGAATGATCACATGGACGCGTCACTTTCCTTTTATCTGGGCTTGCCACGCGCAGGATGTTCTATGCGTTCTTTAAGGTTCTTTCCTTGCACATTTTCGTTTGCAAGAATTGCAGTTAAAGATGATTGTCAAATAACGCCACATCGTGGACAGATCATTTAATTTGATTTATGACCTCCGATTTGTTTCTTCAAAATTGGTATGACACATCAAGCGAGATGGCATGCATTGTCATGAGTTGCTGTGAACCTCGAACACCCGAGTCAATTCCACAATTTGTGACATACGCATGGGGAGGTAAAACACCCACGTTTATATGTGCCCACACGCATGTGTGCTTTCGGATCGCTGTTACAAAATGAGCCTGCCACGGATGGGCACTGAATCTGCGATGGTGAAATACACGCGGATCTCTTTATTTGGCGTTTTTTTTTTTTTTTATTTTTATTTTAATATCAACACTTCTGTGGCGCATGTGCGCAGCGGTTCCTCCAAATATAATTTTTCACTCCACAGGAAAGGAAGAAGCAACTTGGCAGAACAGAGAATGTATCACGTCCCAAGAAAAAACAAAAGAAAAAAAAAGAATTCATGTAAATGTTTGTACATTATATGCTCAGGTGTGTATTCCCCTTTAATGGCCAAGTGTGCAAGCACATGCTGTGCCTCTTCGTAAAGTCCAATTCACAATCGCAATGATGTGATTACAACGATGAACAAGTAGAATTGATTCCACGCCTGCTGGAACAATTTTTGCATGACGCATTTTTTAGAATTGATCGGGCACACGTAAGTGAAATGTTCATATGTATGTGCTATGTACGCACAGACGCATGTTTCCTGTTTTCTCATCTTTCCGGCGGTAGGAAGTACAGATTGCGGAAATGCGAGTAGATAGGTGTGTGCCCCTCCTCCGATGGAGGGACCAAGCGGGTGGTGAAAAAGAGTGTAACTTCTACTCATTAAAAAGATCTTCTTAAGATTTTACTATTACATCTCCATGAGATAATTTTTTTTTTTTGGCGTTGGGCAAATTCCACATTTGTGAAATTTTGCCCGTTGGCAGGTTGCCATAATTGGGGGGTCCCCGTAAGGGGGTTCATCCGTTTGGCCTCTTGCCCAGCGGGCACGTACCATCAGGATCGTTCCCAATTAGCGTATCGCTTAGAGGTGTGCAAGACGGGGTGTTAAAAGTCCTATCAGTCACATGCATGCATGCAGAGAAGGGTTTCGCTAAGGCTCACTTGGTGACACACTTGATGCAGCGTCTGACAACATAGGACATGTCTGTGGTGATGGTCCATTCGACAATTTTCTCCCCTTCCTCACACACAATTTGAGTAACAAAATAAAAATACGCTCAGAGGGTACTTGTCAATGTCTGCATGTGCGTTTATACATATGCGCAACTACGTTTGGAGGGTGTTCCTTCAAAGTTTTGTCTTCCCACAAAGGCTCCCAGTGTGGTGAAAAAAAAAAAAAAGCAGTTTTTCCAAAGGCATGCAGAAAAGTTCAGAGGTTGTTTTTCGTCTTTTTGGTATACTGCAAAAAAGTTTAAAAGGAAATTTCATTCGCACATCTTTTGATGCGTTCTCTTGGATTCTCGTTTTTTCTTACGCATATATTTTATCATCTCCTTTTTAACATATTTTCTGTGATTTTTCTTCATTTCCTCTTTTCTGTTCAAGCCGCTCCTGCTCCCCCCCATGTGGTGTCTTCTGCGTTGTCCACACATGTACAAAAGGTAAAAGTGCACACGTACTGAAGGTTCATACGCAGATATGAACATGTGTTTTCCTTCGAAGAGGCATCTACCGGTTGGAACACGTCTCCATGAAAGGAATTGAAACATTCTGGTGAATGTAGAGGTGCGCTATAAGATGGATGTTAATTTAGCTAATTCAGTTTTTTTTTTTTTTTTTTTTTTTTTTTTTTTGCACCCGTCAGATTAGCTGCAGAACAACGACAAAAAAATGGCTAGTTCACTACGAGTAAGAGTTGTCTTTGCCATTTTGGCCTTCCTATTGGATATGAAAAGAATCTTTTTATGTGCCCAGAAGCAGGAGGTGATTCTGTGTTTGTCCGAGTTTAACCAAGACAGAGCATGTAATGTAGCAGCTGAATTTGGAAAGGAAATAAAAGTGTATTGTCCAATAGACTCAGAACGAAATAATAATGGAGGAGTTGTACGCATGAACGGACAGGAAATAAATAACGAAAACACTTGTTTTAATAAAATGAAAGCACATGATGGCCCGAACAGAAATGTAATTAAAAAATTTGAAGAGCATGTAGAAAATTTAATTATACACACAAATGCTATGGACAATACGCATTATATACACGTGCCTCATACCGTGACCACTGGACTGTTGCTCTCATGTAATTGCATTGATCGGACGAAGCAGAAGGCATATAAGTTAAACATTCAAGTAGCTAAAAACGGGGGGGAAAATGTGAAGGGTTGTAATTTTTACTATGCTGACCAGAAAAAAGAGCAAAAAGGACCTTCCATGGAAAAAAATATAAATATTAAGTTTAATAAAGTGTGCAATGTAGATGTGCATGCGAATGATGTTGTCTCCTTTAGGTGCAAAGCTCACAACAGGTACAGCAACGTCCTTGTTAGTCCTCCCCTCTGCTTTCACGAAGTTTTAAATGAGAATAATGAAAAGCTCCAAATTACCGGGGTACTTAATGGAGTTAAGGTTATACCCAGATCAAACACCTACGTCCATGATGCTATGATGCCCAGATTTTTGTCTTACCTGGTGGCTCCCCCTCAAATAAACGAGTCCCTAAAGGTGGAATGCAGGTGCTCCATTACGGACAATGTGCAGGACGTTTCCTACACAGGAACCATCTCATTGAATTTTATAAAAACGGACAAGCTGAATCCGGTTAAGGAGGAACATGATGCTGACAATAAAAACAGATGGAAGAATGGCATAAATGAAAACGAGGGGGAAGACGGCGAGAAGGACGCGAGGTCCTCTTCCGTGTTGACTGGGCTGTCGGCCGTGTTGCTCTTCTGTTTGTTTTCGGCATGGGGATGAATTGGTGAAGTTAAGACGCAGCGAAGTGACCAATTGAACCGAATTACACCCAATCGCAAAGGAACTCTTTATGCCTCCGCATTCGTCCTCTCCGCCATGTTCGCACCATCCCTGGAGCAGTGCGCACAGAATGTACCACTGCGTCCCATTTTTAACCTTTCACATTTGTCATTTTTATCGTGTCACTTTTATAAGTGTATTTCCTTTTTTTTTTTTTGGAGGCTCGCCTTTACTTTTATTTCCTTCTTACCCAATTTGTGCAACCATTTGAACATTCCTAGGGTGCATTTGTTGGTGTCATCGCTGACTGCTCCACGACATTGCAGTGCGCATGCGTGGAGAGAAGCCAAGTTTCCTCTCCCAGTACGTATAACTTGCACACCTCGAACGAATAAATTTGTTCTTCCTTTCCTTTCCTCCGTGTGGGCAAAGAGTGAAGAGCTTCCCCATTCGCCATGCTCAACCAGGTGGGTTGCCCTATTTCTTTTCTATTTCAACTCACTTTGTAATGGGCAAACGACGTGTGGGATGATGTAACGTAGACATCATATAGGTACCTGTACAAGCAGGCAACAAGGGGATTAATTCGTTTAACATCATGTTGGACGGTCATTCAGCGGAAAGGATAAAATAAAAAAGAAAAAAAAAACTCTTCATTTAAATTTCCTTCCAGAGGGGCGCAGCAGGTGTTCTTCCGTTTCGACGTTCTCATTTTAGCTTTTTTTTTTTTTTTTTTTTTTTTTTTTGGGAGGCGAATTTTATTGGCTGCATGCAAAGGGTCAAAAAAGAGGGCAACATATTGGACAATAAAATGGACAACAGGATGGCTCCCAATGCAGAAAAAAGACAGCCCCCTTTCATCATGAAACAAAACATACTGCAATCGCATAGAGACTTAATTCGAAACAGAAAAAAAAAAAAAAAACACTCTATATGTGCTTTTCGTCCCATGACGCGGCGCGCGCTCTCCTTTTCCCATCTCCCAAGTTCAGTTGCGTTATGAGATGAGTTTCTCAAATTTTACCAACAAACTATGCCTTCAGGAGATGTGCAAAATTCTCTGCATGTGTACACAGGGTCATCATTTTTGATCTCAGATTTTATTGCGTGTGACATGAAAACACGAGCGGTGGACATTTTGCCTTCGAGACAAGGATATATTGTTTTTTTTTTTTTTTTTACGACAGACTTGTTCTCCTTATCCCATGTACTGCGCAACGGTTTGTTGCCCCATTTTTCGCTTGCTCTTGTTTGCCCATTTTTTGGATTTTTTCCCCCCCTGGTTTGCAGCGCTGTAGAGGGTTTTCCTACCAACTGCATCGCGCACTGTTGTCTCTAACAGGGCAAAGCATGAGGCGGATTCTGCTGGGCTGCTTAGTGGCCTTGTTCATTGGAAATTGGGTGGCGGTGTGCAGGAAGATAAACGACTTGATCAGCATAGGACACGTGAACGTGTGCCTGATAGATGTAAGGATAGACGATGCTCAAGAGTGTGTCCTGGAGAATGAATTCGGGAAGGCATTATTATTTATCTGCAACATAGGTGAATACATTAATAACAGATCAAGAATAATTCCAGCCACATGTGCCCGTAGGACTTTCATAAATTTAAGTGATCCCACTGAATTCTCCGCAGACAGTGATACGTACGAATTGTTTCAAAATTTAATAGGTACTAACGACTCCACTTTGCGAGGGCATTTCCTCTTTTTTAGCACCCCCTATTCGAATAAAGAAATAGACCTGAGTTGCTTATGTTACATAGAAGGCAAGAAACAACATAAGCATGTGATGAAATTGGTGTTTAAAAAAACGAAAAAAAAAATAAAAGGTTGTGATTTTGGTTATAATATTTTGTCAAAAAGAGACTTAACAAATAACATTGACTTGAATAAAAATGCTGTTTGTCGGATTCATGCATACCCAGGGGATGTGATAGGAATTAATTGTTATAAGAAAGAGAGTAACCATTCGTACAATGATAATTTGGAGCTAGTGCCGAACAATTGCTTCCATAGTATTGAATACGGAAATGATATTACTTTGTCTACTAACAATTTGATCCCAAACTCGAGAGTCATTCCAGATTCCACAACAGATGTGCAATTGTCCAAAATGCATTCCTACATGTCTTATATGATCCTACCGAAAGATATGACCATGACAGGTAAAATCAGCTGCTATTGCAAACGGGGGGAATACGTGGGGTCCATGTTCATTTATTTGAAGACTGTAAATAATTTGCTATATGATTCCAATGGAATCGACCGAATTATTGAAAGGGGAAATGTTGAAGAAAATTCAGATCAGGAGTGGGGAGGAAGTGCAAAAAACGCGGGGGAAGAGTCCAACCAGGGGAAAAGCCAGAGTGAGGTCAAAACAGATGTGAAGGAACAAAACGAAAGGGAGGAAGATATTCACAACCATTATAATAATATAAACAGCATTTATTACAACTCGGGGATGAGCCACCCCAGTAGGAGACAAGACTATCAAGGACAGAGTGAGAGTCGTCACCGGAACGAGGGAAGAAAATCGAGTGTAAGCGAATCGACCAGCGAAAATAACACTTACAGCTATAGTAGTGAAAAAAACATTAGCCGTGAAAAATCTGGAAACAAATTATTTAACGAAAACAATTATGATGCTTATAACATGGGCATGGGTGACGGATTCAGTAGGGGCCCGCAGCGAAGGAAGAAGAGGACCTTTTGGCAAAACCTCTTTGGGTTGTCTTCTTCCCAGTTTTCCTCCTTCAATTCGTTGATACTTTCCTTTTTTGCGCTCATGTACGCGGGTCATTCGTCCCTGTAGGGGGCGCCTCGTGTGCACGTACATATATATATATATGTGTGTGTGTGTGCACGCTCCATGCGCGGCGCTGCAGTCGGTTTGGCGTCACCACTTTGCCGCTCTCTTTTTCGACTCTTCTGGTACACTTTTTTTTTACTTGTTTCTGCCTTTTTTTTTTCTTCCTCCATTCCTCGCTTTAACGCGTTTTACAGTTTAACGCGCCGATGCGTGCGCATTTGGCTCTTCATTCGTGCCTTTCACCCATTCGGCCTGTCCGGTGCGCACGTAGCACATATGTACACAACGCGGGATGTGCCACTCGAGGGTATATCAACCCCCCACCTTCGCATATAACCGTGCTGCTTTTTTGTGGGAGCAAAACGAACTTGTGCAAACAAGAAAAAAAAAAAACAACATGATAACTTCCTCCACTGTGCATATTTAAATTTTTAATAAAATGCATGCTTCTTTTTGGGTCTAACAAGTAGCTCCACGCGCAAAATCCTCGTTTGCCTATGTTGTAAACGAGCTGTCGGGCGTCCTGTTGGAACCTTTTTCATGGGTTTCCCAATTTACCCACTGATTGAAACCTTCTGGGAGAATTAAGCCAAAACAGGAACACCGCTCGGGAAGGATTAAACGTAGTTATTAACGAACTAGCCAAAATGGGAATTTTGTTATTTGCAAAAGGAAAAAATGTTAATAAAATGTATGAACGGTTGAAGTTTTTTTTTTTTTTTTTTTTTTTTAAAAAAAATGTATGTACTGTTCATAATTTTGTACGAGCTCAGCAGAGGCGCCTCTAATATTGCAATAACACAAAAAATAAAAATGGAAAAAATGCAAAATAAGGGAATTATTCTGGGGAGAGAAAAAAAAACAATTTAATAAAGACCGTAATGGGACATGTGTTAAAAAAAATGACAAAAAATATATTCCAATCATTTAACTGCTAAAATGTGAGGAATGATTTTCGTATGTTCACTGCGCATCGCGTTTAAAAAATGTATATACCTTAAGAAGATAACACATAACAGGGAGAAAACACGCAACAGAGCTGAGTAAAGAATGATCAGGAAAAAGCATAGTGTATGGAAAGACATAACTTCAAATGGTATAAGATATCTGCAAATTCTGAGCTAGTTACACAACTGAGATTAAATCTATACGTGTGCATGTTTGCATGCTTAAAAAAAAAAAAAAAAAAAAAATGCGCCTTTGTAAAATGATGCCCATTTTACGAAACATTTATAACATGCAAATGGTTCGCTTTTGGCATATAATTGAGGACATAAAAATTGAAACTTCTGGATACACCATTTTAAACTGAAATGTGTGTACTTTTATAAAATTTGCATTGCTTACAGTTTGGGCAAATCGCATAAGCTGTGCAAAATGCGCAAAAATATTTACTCCAGTTTATTATGTGTGAGAAAAGTTGGCTTAGCCTAACTGATTTGCCAAATGCCAATTTCAGTGGCTCTCTCCCGCGCGCCTTTTTGGTTAACCGTTCAGCGTCCGCGGCAGGGTTGTGCAGAACGCAAAAAAGGGGTAAATATGTGCATGCGCAAAGGGGACAGAGAACAAATGAACAAGTGTCCAGTCGGTATAAACCCATTCGCCGACGTGATAGTTGCCATCGGCTCCAGATTGCCTCCCCCACATACAGGCATAGATAAGCAGGCTAACATGCCCCATTGAACATGAACATTTGTGTAACGTCGCGGTAACCTTTTGGATCCATTCAAATAGCAACTCGCAGGGATATACATTTTTTTTTTTTTGTCGTCCCCAGGAACAGCTCTTGTGATGTTGACAGGTTCGGCTCGTTCTGCCCCATTTGAACCACCCAAAAAACAATATAGAACGAATTTTTGCACACAAAAAGGTGTTTGCTACGAGTTAACAAAGTTGCACAACTGACAATGGTGAAAATGAGTACATGCCTTCCAGTAGTCTGGAATATGCTTGCCTTCATTCTGCTATATTATGTTTTTTCGTTTTTTATATTTTTTTCGATTTTTTTTTTCAAGATGAGAAAAGTATTTTACTCTTTGATGGTTAGTATATATATATGGCTGTGTGTGTACTCCCCTGTGTATGCGCTATATTTTAAAGAAATAGAATTAGGGAATTATTACATCTGTAACTTAAATGATTATCCGAGAGAGTACTGTGTGGTGGACTACGACCCAAACAGAATAATCAAGTTATTGTGCCCGATTGTACATAATGAAGGAGAACACACGAAGATGTACAATTCGAGTTACTGCTTCAGATATAAGGGGATAAAGGATCGTCTTATAATTAGTAATAATGAAGAGCCCATATATAAAACCCTTCCCGGGATTATACTAGAAAACCAGTTTGTATACGACAGGTATAATTTGGGCATCTATATGATGCCTCTTAAATTGGAGGAAGACATGAGTATTGTTTGTGTCTGCGACACAAAGAATGAATACAAAGGAATAACCCCTTATATAAAAATAAAAATAAAAAAGTCGAACAATGTTGTTGGTGCAGGTTCGGCTAATGAACATATAAAGGGATGCGACTTTGGTAATAATCAAGGGGAACATCAATTCTTAACCATTCCGCAATCACATGAAGAGAACGCCGTATGTGATATTCAAGCCAATCCGGGAGACATAGTTGGGATAAATTGTATAAATTACAATGAGCAGGACCTTGAAAATAAAGACGTCAGGTTGGAACCTTCCAACTGCTTTAGCACGGTGTCGTTTTCTTTGTATACTTTCAATTTTGTAAAGATGAATATAAATAATATTTTTCCTAATGCGAAGTACTACCCCGAGTCTTCCGCTTTCCCCAAGGATCCGAATTTAAAAAAATTTTCGACCACGTCTTACTTGTGGATCCCTGCTCATGTGCCTCAGGAATTTTTTTTCTTCTGCTCTTGTCAGTATGCGAAGGGCGAGGCCATTGCGACATATCACGTGAGCAGCAGCGCCCTAGCAGTGTGAGATGATAGCTGTTGAGAAGTGTTACGTTGTGTGCACCGTTAACAGGTAGACGCTGACCCCATTTTACAATTAACATGTTCTCCCCCCGAGATGGTGCCCTTGCACCCATTTATTAACCAAAGCTACAACAGGGAACACGATCCTTATTTCACTTTATTTTGTTTTTACTCTTCGTTATTTTGCGTCATCCTGTACTATTTTGTGCTATTTTATTATTTTTTTCTTTTGCTACTCCCTTAATATTTATGCTATATTCCCACTCTTTAGCAGTTTATTTTTGTGCCCCTGATAATTAATCACTAAGTACGATTTGTGTTTACACCCTCCTTTACATATAGCTGTAGCGGTTTACGCGTTTTAATTAAGGCACTTGTTGTGGAATTACCTCCACACAGTTCTCTCCCCCGCTTTTTATTTGTATTTTATTTGATTCTATTTTGTTCTATTTTATTTTGTGCCTTTCTTTCATGTGACCTACTTTAAACTTAAGACGGGAGTGAAGATGTGAAATTTTTTTTTATTTACGTGCACTGAGCAGTCGTCTTGTACTTGTTAAGCGAAGGAGACATTTCCCTGCATTGCACAGGTTCGCCAACTGGAAAGGGAGTTATCTTTTCTGTGAGTGGTTTTAAGGGGAACCCGGCGGGGAGGAAAACATCATCATTATATATGTTCGTGGGGATGTCCGGATGTGGACATAAGAATAAAAGATTTTTGTCTACGCGGTGAAGTGCATGACAGATGACGCGCATGGTGCGACAGAAGGTCTGGACATGACCCCAAGGCTGTGGCAGCCCATTTGCCTGTACAATATGGACGTTATAAATCAGGTATCCACAAAACAATTCTTATTAGTGTGCTTTGATCGGTCCTTTTTTTTTTTTTTATTTTTTTCTCCCCATGTGATTCATCCGCTAGAGTACGTGTTCACACGGGGATCTTACGAGAGAGCTCCTGCAGGGGTACATCGTGTGGCACCGGTTTGGACATAAAAGAAACAAAGGGGAACAAAAAAGAAAGCGGGAGAAGAAGCGAAAACAATGATGAAGCAGAAGCGAAGCAAGAACAAAAAAAAAGAAAAAAAAAACACTGTCCCCTTTTCCTACACAACTGTATCATGCGTACATGATGACTTCCTATCTTGAGAAAAATTAGAAAAAAAAAAAAAAAAAAAAATACGTAGTTGCAATCGTAAATTTGTGTACGTATAAATATTTTTTCCCTCTTTTGGGGCGAGCTGAAAAATAAAGGGACAAAAAAAAAAAAAAAAAAAAAAAAAAAAAAAAAAAAAAAAAAAAAAAAAAAAAATACGTAGTTGCAATCGTAAATTTGTGTACGTATAAATATTTTTTCCCTCTTTTGGGGCGAGCTGAAAAATAAAGGGACAAAAAAAAAAAAAAAAAAAAAAAAAAAATGAAGCATAATATAATATACGTGTACAAGGACGTATAGCAAAAAATATATGCACGTACGTACGTATGTTTGTATGTACGTGAGGGTAATGCCCAAATAAAAGGAACTTTTTTTCCCCCCCTTTCCGTTTGTTTATAAGTATGCCTGAAGGAATTTTAGGCGCAGCACGTGTAAGCGCATATGAAGGAGGCGGCAAAGGGAGATATAGCGAAGAGAGGAGAATGAACGAGAGCAGTCTCCCGTCAGAGAAAGGCCGCGCACATTGAAAGGGAAGAATAAGATTCTTTTTTCCCCTAGGCCATCGAAGGAGATCATTTTGACATCCATAGTGGTTACATGCCGAGGGCGTTCACACGAACACATGCGCGTATACGTATGAGGCTGTTGACGGGTTTACTTTCAGACGAGTTAACCTGCTGACCTGGTGGCATAGGTATGCCCACCTGCGTGTGAGCGCAGCGCCTTGTTCTTGCGCATGCATCTTTGCAGTCCGCGTTGGCGCTAAAACGCACCGATCTTTTAAACCCCCATATATAACGTCAACGCCGCAAAGGAGAGGTTGACGACTCCTCCCGACAAGCATGAGCACGATGGTAAGTCAAGGGGATAAAGAGCGTAACGCAGTAACAGCGGCGTGGCTAACTAGTGAGGCTCAGAAACGTCCATCCGAGCTGAAGACAGTCTGTGTCCAAACGTTTTGAGGACACTGTACACGCATGCTAAAATGAGTGGCGCCGTCAAACTTGTGTTCCTTTTTCCTTTTGCAGAATGTAAATTCACCCGATTCGAAGAAAGGCAATTCGGAAACGAAGAATTCGAAGAAGTAAGGGAGGAAAAAAAAAAAAATAAAATAAAATAAAAGGGAAAGACCCTTCAAAGGAGGTCGTTCTCTTTATCGAATGTCACATTGAACAGTCTGCATCTCAAAGGATGCTTCTACATCATTCGACAGAAGGAAGCGGCAATATATACACACAGCTATAGCGCCCACATCATGTTAACGCTGCTGTGTTGTTGCTACTGTGCTGCCCCACTCCTATGGTGCCAACCCCGTCCATGTCCACACCTGTTCTGAATTTCCCCCCGCAGGCGAAGCATCGAAAAAATAATCTCCCCAACGAAGGTTATTACTCAAAAAAGAGAGAGAGAGAAAAAAAAAGGACAAAATAGAATAACTGACGAAGTGTGGGGCCTGTCGGGAAAATGGACCACCGTTCTCACCCTGTCGCTGGACCTAACTAATGCAAAACGAGAAATAATTTTTCTCACCTGTTGATGCTCATTTGTTCATCTTTATGTTTATTTATTATTGTTATTATTATTATTATTTTTTTTTTTTGCTTCCCCCCTTTTTCAGATTGCCAAAACGGATGTTGATGCGTCCGACGTTAATGAGGCCGATGATATAGGTGAGCGTCAAGGGTGGGGAAAACAAAAATGCCTACATAAGGGCGAGGGGTGGTAAATGGCCCCTGTGTGGGTTCCCCTCATTTGTTCTTGCACTTCATATGAATATACTTCCTGTCTCCACCGCAGGTAAATCACAAGTCGAGTTAGGTGAACATGAAAGTTCTAATCAAGTAGAGGAAGAACCAAGTGAGTGCATCTCACATGAGTTATACGGTGAGGAAAATGTAGTGATGGCACAGGGGGAAGCAGAGAAGGACGTTCAAGTAGATGACAAAGTTGGAGCGGAAGCTGCTTGCACGGTGGCTTCCCAAAAGTGTAGCGTCAAAAAGAAAGAGAAAAAAAAAAGTGGAAGAAATAACTTCGCTGAGGAGACCAAAAAAACGATTCAAAAGGAGAGGAAGAAAGTAGAAAAGGGGGATAAGAAAAAAAAGAGGAAGAATATAGAGAAGGGCAAAAATGACGAACTAAGGAAGTTTGTCATGAAGCTGGCAGATATCGTGGAGGGGCAGGAAAAAGAAGACGCAGCAGAAGAAGAGGAGGAGGAAGACGACGAAGATGAAGGCGGAGAAAATGATGAAGAAGAAGGGGAGGAAGAAGAGGAGGACGAGGATGATGATGAGGAGGAAGAAGACGATGATGATGAGAACGATGATGATGATGAAGAGGATGGGGACGATGACGATGGTGATGAGGGGGAAGAAGAGGCGGAAGAAAAACTGCTAGACGATGTGTCAGACGAAGCGTCAGACGAAGCTTCCGATGAGGACGCGAGCGGACCACAAGAGGAGGAAACAGATGAAGAGGGAAAAGATAAGCAGGAGGAGGAGTCCAAAGCGGAAAGCATTGAAGGGGCCAAAGAGGGAGACGATGGAGATGACGCAGATGATGGTGATGATGCTGACGAAGATGGTAGTGACGCAGATGGTGGTGATGACGATGAAGAAGAAGTGGAAGGGAACGAATTGGGCACAAACGAAAAAGAGAACGAAAAGGACAACGAAGAAGACGAAAAGGAAGAGGAGGACCAAAAGAGCAAGGAGAAGATTGATGAGGAGGATGCAACTCCTCGGAAGGGCAGTGATGATGAAGAGAAAGGGAGCGCGGATGAAGAAAATGCCACAGATGAAGAGGACCTAGCGGAGAAAGAGACGAACAAAAGTAGCGTGAACAAAAATCAAAAGAGGTTACATAGAGAGAGAGACCTCTTCCTTAGGGAGGATAGAAAAAAAATGGAAAAAAACGACTCTGCAGGTGTACACAAGTGCCTTCATTCATATATGAATGTGTTTCCATGTGCACATGCTTTTACATATACAAATTTATGGGCACATATGTACCAGTCACGTTTGTGCATTTCACCAATGCTCATTTTGATTTTCCCCTCTTCACAGCGACAACGAAAGTGCGTCCAGCGCATACAGCGATATTAAGAAGAACGACCGTTTGTTTGCATCCATGGTAATGAGCAGGAGAAATTGCGCGCACGTGTGTGTGTGTATGTATGGGGGCAACGGGATTGCCCCCTGGAGCGTATACCCGTGTGGTTGCTTCGCGTTATGGGACACGATTTCCCTCACTTATTCTGCTGCCCTCCTTTGCAGAATGATTACAATTCGCCCAACAAGCTCTTCAGCGAGCACGTGGGGAAGCTGAACATTTTTGGAAACGTGAATATCGACATTGAGAAGTTGAGGCAGCGACTGAACAAAAACAAAAGTGTCATGGAGGAGAAGAAAGAAGTGAAAATCTCAGAGGCAGAGGACCCCTTCGGTAAGTCACTCTTTAGCAGTACCCACAAATTGTGTACCGTGGCCATATAAAGTTTTTTTACGTGGACACTGATTTAGGTATACAAATATGTCACCTACGTATTTTATTTTATTATTTTTTTTTTTTTCCCTGCTGTCCTGTCCCATCTTGTAGAGAATGAAGAAATAGTTTACTCCGAAAGCAACATTAAGATAAGCAAGTTTATAAAAAAAAATGAAAAATATGACTGGTCAGGATATTTACCCGTGAAAATTCAGATAATGAAAAATGTGGAGAATAAAAAGTTTCGAATTCTTTGTTTTCAAAAAGGGAGTGGGAGACTCTTTTTAAATACAGACATTTTCGAGGGCTTCAAAATAATTCCCTCCAAAAGTACCTCTGCTTTGTTTAGTGGGCGAGACATATGTAAGGGCTTGTGAATACTTTTGCCGATGTGGGCGTTGGCCGACCCAACTGCATACATACGTATACATATATATATTTTTTTGCAAAGCTGAGTGCACTTCATTCATGTTTTTTTTTCTTCTACTTTGACGAACCTCCCGCAGGCGATGAGAAGAAGCTGAACCAGTACATTGTGACCTTCATGAGCACCACCTCTAGAGATGAATTCGTCAAGCATATAAAAAAAATCACGGCTGGGTGAAGAGGCGGTCGCTGGGAAATCCCCTTGTGCGTAGATTCGCACAAAATGTATGTCTGTATGTGGGCATATGCACACGTGGGTTCCCCGGCCCGCGGTGCACACCCTGTGTTTACGTCCCTCCCCTCCCCCCCATTATTTTTTGTTGTAAAAAAAACGTTTTGCGGGTTTGGTTTTGCTTTTGAATAGCGCTGTCCGAGTGGGGAAGGAGCGGGGCACATGGGCGAGCATGCGTATGCATATATGTATCCACACATGCGCAAGCGAAATGGGTTCGTTGGTTTTCCCTCGTCTGGGCATTTCCTCAGAAGGGTGAAATAATTTTAAAGTAGTTTTTTTTTTTTTTTTTTTTTTTTTGCAATTTTAAGGCTTCCTTCGTAAATGTGCCGGGCGCAAGTGCACGGCGCTGGGCCTTTTCCTCACGGGTGTTCCTCATGTGTGTTCCTTATGTGTGTTTCTCATGTGTGCTCCATATGTGTGTCGCTCTGCTCCTCATGCATGTTGTTGCGTGTCCCACATTTTATTCATCCAAACTCTCTTGCTTTTTTGTGACTTCATTTTAAAGCCCCCTTTTTGAAACCTTTTTTAAAAGTGGGAAATTTTGTGTGCGCCGTACGAGGGGTGCGTCCGAAATGGGATGAACCACATGAAGGCTCTCCAGGCATCGATGTACCCTCCGCGCAGTTGAGCTAGCAAAATGGCTGCAATGAACACCGAAATTTGGTTTGGTCATGAACACTGTCGTTTTTTTTTTTTTTTTTTAAATGGAATGCATGATCACCGCCATTTGCATAGCCTCACATGGTAAGGCGGGCATAGCGTTGGCGACAGATTTTATTTTCCTCCCCTTTTGAGCGATGTATCACCAGGTCATCTATCCCCCCGTGATCAATGCCAGTGGAAGGGAAATTCCCCCTCCCCATTTGATTAAGGAAGATTATTATATACAATGTTGAAGGCATGCGGGCTTATGAGACGAGTGAGCACCACGGGTGGGGGGGGCTATTCCCGCGGAGTTCAGGGCAATACCCTCTTCAATGATGAATATCTGAAAAAGGCATTCGAAAGGATATCCATCGGATCTCCATCACAGTCGTCCGCATCGCTATCATCGGCGCCATCGTCAGTGGCCCCGCCGAGGGCAAAAATAAACAGCGTTTTGAACTTTTTGCTGAGCTCGAATTTGCTCCGTACCAGATGGTCCAAGTTAGAAATAATTGACGAACTATACAAACGCAGAGTTGACAAGAAGCTTTCATTCCATTTGAACGTTTTATATGGGTTGGGTTCGAAGGGGCTACACTTGAGGAGGAAGGGGATCATATCGCCGGTGCTGTTTCAACCCCTGCTGGATTACAATCAGTTTGTTTACATTGTGCAGGTGTGGCTTCGAGAGAGTAGGCCAGTCCGCTACGTCATGAGTTACACACGTGGGTGTGTGAGCATTCCCCCCACAGAGATGGGATCTAAGTGGACGACCTTTTGCTCAACACACATGAGTATTCTTTCCTTCCTTTTTTTTTCCCCCCTACCTTTTCACAGGTGATGAAAATTGCAGACAGGGAGAGGCAAGCTGGAACGCAGAAGCAAGCCGATTTCGTTCGGAGCTTCTTCAGAGCGTAGGACTGCCTGCGACAGCAGCACTTTTTTTATTTTGCCACCATTTTGTCATGTGGCTTTATTTTATTATTATTATTTTTTTTTTTAATGAACCCTTTTGCTGTAATGCATTACCCCCGTTTGGTTGTGCCAAAAGGGGAACCCTTTTTTTTATAAGTTTGAATGGGTGTGCAAATTTGAGCATACTGTGTAGCACAACTGATCTGGTGACGGTGCTTTCTTTTAGCGTTGTTATCCTGTAGATGGCCCTATGGGGAACACTAACACTACGTATTATGATAGCCCTTGTTGACGTTCCCCCTCCAGTAGTTTGCCATGTAGGTGCGTGGAAAATGGTGCAGAACCAACCCGCACGGTGGGTGCCAGAACAGGCAAGAATGGGCAAGAGGGAGATGCGCACGATTGTAAAGGGAAAGGGTCACCACATAATTCGACCTCTGTCGCCTAGTCCGTGGCCTCCTCATATGGTTCCTCCCTTTTTAACCCAATGGACGACAACCTTCCCGCATGCAACCATTTCAATGGTGCAAATGTATTTTCTTTGCTGTTGGGGTGGAAACTTGGGAAGAATTTGCTAAGACGCTTATGTAATCTACAGCAGTTTTTTTTTTTTTTTTTTTTTTTTTTTTTTTTTTTTGAATGGGCAAATTGTACCTCATGACCTTATCGCCCTCTGCCCCAGCCCGGATTTTTTGTAGTCCTCCTGTGCCATTGGTGCAATGCTCATTTGTGAAGTCTGCAAAAAAAAAAAAAAAAAAAACAGAAGAAACTCAGCAGTGGGAAAATGTGCGAGCACACACCAGGCACAAGCCCATTTATTTTATTTGAACTTCCCTTTTTCTCTTGGTTCCTACTACACAGCTCATTAGACGTTTCACTGAACGTTGCGGCGGTATATATATGCCCCTCCGCGCACTAGTGGACTTATGTGAGAAGGCGTTCTTGTGACAAAAGCGATTGACCAGGGTGACTGACAAAGCTGATTAAACTCGTGGCTCGTTACACCTTAGCAACTGCACCGTCCACTTGGATGGTAACACTACCTTGTTGTAATCTTTCCCGCCGCCCCCTAAAAAACAAAAAGCATCTTATGGATATTTTTTTTTTTTTTTTTTTTTTTTTTTTTTTTTTTTGCAAAATAAGAGCAATGCACCCGTTTCATAATATACGTTTTTTTTTTTTTTTTTTTTTTTTTTTTTTTTTTTTAAAAAAAAAAAAAAACCCCCCCTTTCAAAATATTTTTTTTTTTTTTTTTTTTTTTTTTTTTTTTTTTTCAAAAAAAAAGAAAAGCCCCCGTTGCATAATATACGTTTTTTTTTTTTTTTTTTTTTTTTTTTTTGTTCTTTTTTGCAAAATAAGAGCAATGCACCCGTTGCATAATATACGTTTTTTTCTTCTTTTTGTTTTTTTTTTTTGTTGTTTCGTGGACGGCTCAACCTTGTGCTCACGTTGGAAGTGTTAGGCATAAAGTGCTTCAAACATGTCTGAAACAACTTTGTTGCTTTTTTCTGTTCACATTTATCTTAGGACTGTATGGGCAAAGAGGGCTGCAACTTAGGACGTGAAAACGAGATAAGCATTCCGCCTTCGAGCTTTGTTTTGTTATGTCTAATTAGGTTAATATTGTGTTTTTTTTTTTTTCTTTCTGTAAATATGTGTATGCATATCTACTCAGCCTTGTCTTGTTCACAATAGAATTTTTTGTATTTTATAAAAAAACGTTTTTTTTGTAGGTAGAATAATGCAGCGACTATTTCTTCATTTTTTTATTTGACCTTTTGCTCAGGGGCTTGAGTGTGTGTTTTTGTGAGCGTGGTGACAAGGTTGCAATCGCACATGTGTCTCTGCACTTATGGGTGCGTATGTGTATGTGTGTGTGTGCCTATGCCATTACATGTGCCCCGCCCCCATGCAATGCGGACAAAGCCCCATTGGGGTAGTAACAGTGAATTATTATATGTGCCCATAAGTGTGATTTGCGCAGTAGCAGCGTTGAGTCCGCAGCAACCTAATTTGTTATGTTCCATTTTTGCGTTACACTGATCACTTGTTGGTCACCCTTTTGTGCTTTCTATTTGTTTATCGTCGCGTTTTGCTCATTTTTTCGTGTTCACTTTGTTTTTTTTTTTCTCGGCCCCAGAAAGGAAGAACTGAGACCGCGTCCACCCTGTTGCGACATGCATAACCATCCTTGTCGCTCACAACCCAAACGCCTTAGAGGGAAGAAGCACCTACAGATGTTTACACTTGTTCACAGATTGCTATGTTAGTTATATTACCTACTTTTTTTTGTTGTTATTCGCCACAGTTTGTAATTTTTTTTTTTTCATTTTTTTTTGTGTAGGCGTTTATTTTTCGCCCCATATTATCATCCCCAATTATTGTGAGCCGAATTGTTTTCTTCCCAAAATGTTCGCAAGTGTGTGTATATACGAGCCGTAAAAAAGTTGCTCTCACGGGGAGAGGGAATCATAATTAATTCAAGCCCGATGCATAGAACATTATATAATTTTTTTTTTTTTTTTTTCCTTATGACTACATCTTGGACCTTCGACTTTGACAAAGGTTGTCTTTTTTGTATCCCTCCCCCCCGATTTGCGATTTGGGATCCTTGGCCTAAATACAACATTTCATGGTAAGCATAATTTTTTTTTTTTTAATATCGTAGTTACAGCTATCTGCATGTTGTGCATCTATGTTAGAGGTTTCATTGAGAAAAAAAAAAAAAAAAAAAGAAAAAAAAAAAGACCTAACGTAGTCTCACATGATAGTTAATTACAACACCTACTTAGCTAATAAGACAAAGTACCACTTCGGAATAGATACCTAGTATTACTCAATTTTGAAAAAATTCACGAGCAGTTGTTTATAATGGGAAAGCCACATGGTGGCTGAAACGTGCTTGTACCTTCCTGATTACTCCCATCATAAGGGAATATATTATTATGTGTTTGTTTTTTTATTTTTTTCGTACAATGTGATGATCTGTGTGAGCGGTTCCACGCTTTTCTTTTTCGTTTAGTGAGACAATTTCTTCACCCAGTTGGTGGGATCAGATGGGAGGGTGGTACCACCACAGAGTTTTTGTGATCCATGCACTTTTTTTACTTCATTGCGATTTGCCGTGTATCTTGTCGGGACACTTTTTGCGGCATATTGATCGACAGAGTTGATCCCTGTCTAACTTGTCGGGGGAATCCTCTCCCGATTTATGCAATAAGGAGAGTGGTCCACCTGGCTTCCATGTTTTTTTTGGGGGAGTACATTTGTTGGGTCACACTTGAGGCTTACCTTAGGGCGTATCTTTTTACGCCCACTGTGCCGCTATAGAATGCATCAGGAGGAAAGGAACTTCCATCTGCACACATAGAAGAGAAAATCCCTTAAGGGAAAGAGAATACCATATTTTACACCATCACTGGGTTAAGAGGCGTTTTTGTAGTAAGGCGGTTAACATGGACAGACGAAAGTACCAACAAGACATACGAAGTGATGAACTCAGGGTAGGCGATGAGGAGACCCACAAAATGCACCCCTGCAATGTTGATAAGGACTATGTGGCAGGTAAGGTTAAAATGAATTTTACGTCTAATTTTGACTTGGAGGATAAGGAAAAGGAGGTGAACCAATGGGGGGAGAAAAGGGGGACCCATTATAAGCTGAATGAAGACACGAGAAGCGCATACAACATTGGAGCGGCCGATATGAATAACAAGTTTGAGAGCAGTATGAACCTTACGCAAGTTAACCTTCCTGTAAGTGAGGAGCAAATTTTGTTATCCAGCCAAAATGATTTACACGATAAAGAAAGGGAAAAAGAAAGGGAAAAAGAAAGGCAAAAAGGGAAGGCAAAAGACAGCTGTGGTATTGATCCAATGAGCCACATAAATGTGACTTTTGCAGGTGGACACATAAATGCGCTGAGTCCAGAACAGCAACGTAGCGGTGGTAGCAAACGCATCGATATACGCCCTCTGGAGAAAGTCGATGGGCAAAGGAACCCCCACGATGGTGGTACATCTCGGACAAACATTAATATGAATATCAGCGATGATCAGAGGAGGAGTGGTCTGGACGGTGCACATATTTCAGCGACACGAGAGCAATATGTGAATACAGTTACTACTAATTTTGAAACGTGGTGTAATAAGGAAGTGTCTGTAAACGATCAGTGCTCCTGCAACACAGGAGTGCATAAAGAAGGCGCGCACCTCCGGGAAGCAATTAGGGCTCGGGGTGTAGGAGCTGATGACACCGCGCATGAAGAAGAACAGAAGGACTGTGCCATGGTAAGCGTAGAACAGGTGTGCAGATGGGGAAGTGGAATGGACAACGTGGAGAGTTATTACGATAAGAAGAGCGCGTGTCACATGATGCAGGGGGGACGTAGCTCTGCCCTTGGGGAGGAAGAGCAAGATGAGAAAAGCAAAACTAATCCTATAATAATGCAAGGTTTGAATGAGGTAAGAAGGAATAATTCCATGAACACGTCAGGTAGTTACGTAGACAATGGAAAGAAAGATAATATTTATGAAGAGAGTTTTGTGAGGTGCTCCAATTTGCAACAGAACTACGTTAGTGAAGGTCACCTGGATGAGGAAAACAAACGAGCGAATGTCTTCCATGGAGATGACACCGACTGGGTAAGCACTGTCAACACGAAGGAGACCCCCCCGAATGTAGAAGATCGTCCTAGTAATAGGTGCCCTCTTGTGAAGGACATTGTTCATTTGAGAAAAAACCTACATGGGGCAGAAAAGGAAAGTAAGTTGGGGAAGTCTCTACAAGTGGGATGCACAAATATACTTGTCTGCATCGGTACGGAGATAAAGGAAAAGTGGACCGCAAATGCGCCGAATGGGGACACTCCCAAATTACCTGAACAAGTTAGGAAGATTGATAATGAATTGGAAATAACGAATGAAGAAATTAAAAATGTTGGGCAGGATAACTTGGAAGGGTACAAAAAAAATGTATGTAAAGCAGATTTAGAGCAAGGTCCAAACGAGACAGTGAGTCACGAAAGGGTTAGTCGCTTTCCAGGTGATGCGGTGATAGGCATTGTTTCATCGGGGAAAATTGATGCACCTGCTGGGGGAGGAAAAAATAATGCAATTAATTACATTGGTGTAGAAAATAAAACGGATGCCCATTTGGCCGGTGGTAATGAAGAACATTTTTCATGTGCAGAACGCGCAGTAGAGCAATTGGATGGAGCTCCATTAGGTGCACCTCCATTAAGGCAGAGCTCACAGGAGAGGAGAACCAAGATGGGTATCCCCATACGCATTGGAGCAGTGGTTGATGAAACAGCACATAGAGGAATGGAACAAACAGCTGTTGAGGAAGAAGGTAAGAAAAAAGACAGGTCACCAGAAATGTGTAAAGTAGGTGTAGATGTGTCAAACGAGTTAGATGACAAGTCTAGGAGCAAACAGATCAGCTTATGCAGGGAGAGGGAAAATGGGTTCACTCCTCAAGATATATTAAGCAAAAGTAAGTATAGCACGGACAACCAATTGGTAGGCGTAATTCCTAGAACGTTAGTAAGTGTAGACTACACACCTGATGCACATGGGGTAGGGTTCAAAACAAGTAGAACCCGTTTTGGCGAACGAAAATTGATTCATATGGTGGATGCGAAATGGTCTGAAGGGGACAAATATATTATGGACAATTATCAGAGATGCGAAAATATTCCTATGGGTATATATGGAAATGGCCACGAGGAAATATTGGCCCACAGGACTGATGCCTACAGCTCATTTGAGAAGGAGATGAATAGCGCCCTGTTAGATTTACACAAGGACGGAGTAGATGTGTGCCAAGATAGCATCACACATTTGAGTGATTGTAAAAAGAAGAAGAAAAGAACTGGCATTCCACTAAACGAGAGAAAATACTACCGTGTGCTAGCTAAACAGATGGTAAAAATTCAAGGACTAACTTTCGACCACAACCAGATCAGGTGGATTGCGTACTGGAAGAACGAGAACAACAAACAGATTCAGAAGCACTTCCCTGTGTGTAAGTACGGGTTCTACAAGGCGCGTCAGCTGGCACTGGAGTTTAGAAACTCGAAATTCTCCCCAGGCAGTCAGGCAGTGAGTATGCAAGCGGTGGCCATCAGTGAAGTAGACAAACCAGGAGTGAACAGCCTTGGAGTAGAAAAAGGTGGGGTGATCAACTGCGGAGTGAATCCTCCCCAAAGCAGCAAAAAGAGCAGCCACAAAAAAGATGTCGCAAGGGTGAGAAATCAGGAGCCCACGCAGAAGGACAGCCAACTGATAGAAGCGCACACCAAAAATAAAAGAAAAGACGCAAAGGTGGGGATTCATAACCCCCGCAAGAGGAGCCGGATAAGCAGCAGACGTGTCGATCTGAGTGTAGAACGGGGAGGAATTGTGGCTAATCCAAGTCACGCAGCGAGGACCATGAAACGAGACAATGAACCCAAAAATGTGGACGCAAAATCGAATTTAACATGCGTTAATAAAAGGATAAATGCATGTAGAGCAAGCGCATATGAAGAAAATAATCCCATTGGAAGATCAGCGGTAGGAAGTTTTTCTGGAGGACGATATGCACGGATGACAAGACCTGATTTAAAAAACGTGCACAATGTTTTAGCTTGTGAGAGCGGACACAATTTAAGCAGCATTCCAAATGTGCCCCATTCGACCATCTCGCAAGGGTTCCCCGATTTCATGGGGAACCAGGTGGTGGGTGGTTTGACAAACTTGAGCGATTTTGGCGGCTACATAGGGGGAAGGGAAAACAGATACGATCAGAACAACCATACCACTACAGACGGGCATCCCCCCAATAGACACGAATTCGCGACGGGGTCATACGGTTCAGTAAACTTCTACGACCAAAATGGAATCATAATAACAGGACCACAGATCAACGCATGGCATAGCGAACATGGGGGAAGAAACAACTACACTTACATGGTTAATAATTTCGAAGCGATGCCAAGAGGACACAATATTGCTATGTCCTCGTGTCTAAGTGGAGTGCCAACTGAGGTAGCCTATATGAATCATGGGATGAGTGGAGAGCCTTTATTGAATGGTCAATTTACGGATACGCATAAGAATGTGTCGAACCAGCTGAACCCGTTTTTTGGTGTCAATGATGGGAGAAACTTACAGACAGTCACAGATGCAGCAATGTCGAGTAAATGGGGAGGACATACACAAATGGGAAATTATATCCATTGCTCCAATTTTAATAATGCGGATATGAAGAACGAGGGTGAGGAGACCTACTCGCCCTGTTTTAGAGGTGTACCGTGTGGGTCGCCCCAGCACATGCGAGGTGGCACTTATCAGTACCAGTACAGTAGTATGAATGAGGGAAGGACACAAAACATGGGTCCCCACTTTAACAGTGCAAAGGCACTTGTGGATGGTACATGGAACAGTCCATACGAGGAAGAGACTGGAGCGAACCCTAGTAATCATTCGACAGTGGAAAATTGCGTTAAGAATTCCCTGGAAGGTAGGAGAGTTAGAAGTAGTGCCATTTCCAGTGGCAGCTGCGTTGGTGGTATCGGGAGCCAGGGAATGGTTAAGACACCTCTTGCTATCCTAGCAGGGGACAACCCAATGCAGAACAAGAAAAAGGAGGACCTCACTCTGAGTCTGAATGTGAACATGCATAGTAGGGCAAATGGTGAAAGGAGCGAGCGTGAGACATGGAACCTAACTAGGGCATCCACAGCGACACACATTTCGGAACATTTGGGTGAATTGATAAATGTAAACAGAAGTATATATTGTGAGCGCAGTCAGGGAAGGAGTCTCCCCAGTGAAGGGGGCGCATCGGGCGAAGTGGTAGGACGACTGATGAACAAGGGGGAGGAGAGCACACGGGGAAAGGTAAACGTTTTGGGAGACAACGCCGAGGCGTGTGGAAGGCTAAGAAATTCACCTGAACAATGGATAAGCATTCAACCCATGGAAAAAGACAAGACGACAATAAAAAACGCATGTGTTGAGAATGGGCAGGCGGGAAATGTGGCATGTGGTCAATCTGTGGAGGGAGTAACTTCTGCATATGCAGTAGGCACCACCGTTGGGAACCCGGAACGGAAAACGTCAGAGAGAAACGTCATGAGTAAAAATAAAGGGAAAAAAAACAATTCCGCGAAAAGAACGAACACAAAGGGGGAGAGAAGTTGCAATGATTCGCATATCCGCGAAAACAGTATATCCTTAGTGTCAGAAAGTGTTATCGTTAGTCGGAGCTACCAGTGGAATGGGGAAGAAGACAGAGGGGAGACGCGTGCAATTGGTAGCGGCGAAAAGAAACAGGGTGGAATGTCTAGGGAGGTGTCCAAAACAAAGAGTTCCAAAAAAAGTGCGAAAGAGAAGAAAAAAGAAAAAAACGAATTAAATGTTGATCACACCGGCGGAAAGCAAAACAGAAACGGGTGCAACCAAATATGTGACTCGAAGAATAAAGGGAGTGAAGAAGTCAGCTCTGCTCTAAACAACCCCAATGAATGGACGCACAGTATGAGCTTGATCCAGAGGAAAGGTAACATAAGTGAGGAACCAAACAACGCAGTAATGTATGAGGAAAGAAAATGCACAAGTGAGAAACAATTAGATTCGTGTGGTCAGTTGAATCAGCTCTCGCCAAATACTCCTTTCTCTGTTTCCATTGGAGAATACAATGTGCCACAGTGTGTCTTAGGCCCCAGTGGTGCGAAGAATGGAGAACGTGGAAGGGAGAAAGGGTCAAGCGAGTTAGGAAAAAAAGAGACAGGAGTAGTCGAAGAGGAGGAAGAAGAAATGTATACATACAAGTTAAATGAGTTGGAAAAAAACACTTGCAATGATCAAGATGAAGATGAGTACTACTACAACGAGATCATGAAAATGCCCAAGATTAAAGGAGTCCATTTTGATATCAGACAGAAAAGGTGGTGTGCCTATGGGCATAAAAAAAAAGAATGCTTCTCTGTGTATCGTTATGGGTTTTTAATTGCGAGAGAGCTAGCTGTGAAAAGTCGATTAAAAGTGCAGAAAAGGAAGAACAATATGAAATTAAAAAAAAATAAAAATTATATGAACAGCGAAAATGTCTGTGGCAAAAACGGTGTGTCTCCAGTGAAGAAACAAAAGACCGTGGGGGACAAACAAACACACAGTACTGACAATTTGGATATTTCATCTCTGCCATATGATGGCTTAGATAGGAATAAGAACAGGGTCAGCTTGAATGATTATACTAGTCCCCCTTCTCAAATTGGCTCAACGGCATGCACGCCTACCACTCAGTTTAACGACCAAGAGGGGCATCCCATGGGAAGCACAACACCAACCGGTGACTCGAACTCGCATGAACATGATAAACAGCATGAGGTCATGGATGATAGGATTGATATGAACGCAAATTTGTTTCCAATACAGTTTGCGCACTCAGGCGAAACGGAGTCGTTAAAGGGACCCAGTGCTAGAGGTAGCAAGCTTCGCCCCTACAAGGGGAGTGGTGCGAGTGGCACTTATATAGGTAACCCTTACGGGGGGTTCTACGATAAGCCAGATAGGTATGCAAACCGCAGTTATACCGGAATGCCGAGCGAAATGGAGGGCCCCACCAGGAGACACCACACGGGAGAAGTTGGCAGCAAGAGGGGAAGTGGTGCACAGCACATTGTTCCGCTTGACAACATGGTGCACCATTCTGAGAAGGTCAAAAATTGTAATTACCTAGGAAACTTGAATCGAATTAGTAACGTCAATCAGGCGCAGGAGCAAATGGAATTTTGTGGTCCGAACGAGCAACTTTTCCTGAATGGTGAGGTCACAAGTGACAACCTGTATGACGCATATAATGGAAACGGGGAGATGAATCAGATGATTCACTCTAGTGAGGGGAGGGAAACAATGAATTTTTTTAACATGAGGAATGTAGAAAGGTGTGTCTTTAGAGGACCCAATGACGAGTGCCAGTCGTATAACGGAGATGTGAATTTGTATAGTGTGGCAAGGGCAAATGCGGACATGCAGAAAATGGGTTCTGTTCCGATTATGTCTATTCCGATGGGATGCATTCCTGTTGGGCTCGCCCCATGTTTGGGAAATGGATCCATAATGAGTAACTCCGCCAATGAAGAGGCGCGCAACAGGTTTCACAGAATTGCTGTCATGAACGATGGGTATGTTGGCAGCAGTAGAGAACAGGTTAGGGTAAATGAGGTCATGAATACTCAAGGGGGGTTCCAACTCGGGGTGGGTGCCGGTCTACCAATTGATTCGAACAAGACATGCGTTCCAGACATGCAGCACAGGAATCGCACGAATAATAGAACCCACAGAAATGGAATCACAGATGGGAGTAGAGAATGTGTGCAGAATAAGGAAGAAGTCGCAATTGTAGAACCCGTAGTGGAGAGCAAGCCGAATAGAATGAGACTTAAAAATGATGTTGTGGCAAATGGCTACTGCAGTTTTAGAAGCAATTGTGAGAAGGGTACACCAGTGGGGAGTGATAAAGGTGGGGGCACTAACCTAACAGCTAATGCGGTGACATGTGTGAACAGTACCCCACAGGTCAACAGTGGGGGGAAGCCCTTTTTAGAGGTGCATGGGGGCAGCATCGGTGGGGCTGCAAATCGTATTGATGGGAAGGCGAACGCGGGGATTCACTTCCTTGGGATTACTCCTTCCCCTCAACAAACGGCTGCTCAGAATATGCTCCTGCAGTTTCCCCACGGGAACAGTTCACAGGGACAAGGGCCGTTTATAAACAGCTGGGTTACAGAATCAGGGAAAAATCTTCCGAGTGCAAAAATCTCCATAGGGAACCCTACACAAAGTGCATGTGACACCACCCCCAGGATTAACACAAACCAGTGGGGAGTCCAAAAAAATAGGGAACGGCAAAACGATGTAGGAAGGGTAATAAATATGAGTGATACGAATTTTTTACAGAATGATATGAACAGGGGGGTAGTAGAAAATTATTGTGCGGTGAGAAGTTTCGAGCCATATGGGGCACATAATTTAATGAGGAACACCACCTGGAGACGCAGGAATGTAGAAAGTGATTGTGCGAAGGGGAAGATAACTTCATGTTTGGTGGCGGAGGAGAAGACGAACTCTGGGGTCGGGAAAGAACCGCACGTGGAATATGACCGAAATGTGGCACACATAGGAAGTGGCTACTCAGAATATAATATGAATCCCTGCGTTGATGTGAATGACTCTTTTGCGCAAAATGAACAGTGTGTCACACTTGCGTGCAAAAACTATGGCGGGGATGCATTTATAATCCCGTTTGGTGAAGAGGGAAAAAATGAAACGGACAAACATTTGGAAGAAAATGAGAAAAAATTCTTACATCAGATTTTTCAGGACAACAGAAATATAGGCCATATCGAGGTGGACATAAAAAATAAACCAATAGAGAGCTGCCTTGAGAAAAATAAACGTTTGAACTTCGAAGAGGTTAACATGTTTAACGCGGAGGTTGATGAGGTTAGGGAACCAGTAGTGAGTGTGAACACTGCAGAATTGGATAGAAACGAACGTAGAAACGAAAGGGTTTCTCCCCCCAAATGGGTTCAGATAAACGGGAAGGCAATCTCTTATGACAAGGTAGATGTGGGAAAGACAGACCGAGAGGCAACAAACAAAGGTGTAAAAATTATGAAGAGAGAGAAAAAAAAGAAAAAAACAAAAGAAGACATAACATCGCAATCGGTTAATCATATTTTCCATTCGTTGGATGTAGCAAATGTACAGTGTGAGGAGAAACAAGCCTGCAGTGATAAGAATAAAAGGTGCAAAAGTGGGTTTGCCAATTTTACAGGTTCTGATGAGACATGCACGACATGGGAGGATGGCGCACAAACCTGCCTCTTACCAGAGAGCACTTTGGACGGAAATCAAGGGGAAGAGAATGGGGTAGGTGGTACACAAGATACTGCCTCCAATAGGTCCCCAATACGAGTTCATATGTTTAAATGCCACACCAACAGGAGCGACGCCTGGGGGAGGAGAGGTGAGCTGGTGGGAAAGTACAAATGTGGGAGAGGAATGAATGCTGAATTGAGTAATTCAGGGGAGTGTGAAAACTCGGGGGCAACGTCCACATGTGGAGTGCAATTCAAAGGAACAGGAGCCACGATGCAATCGAAAATAAAACCCAAGTTGGATATGTTGATGTTAGATGGAACTACAACTGGTGAGGAAGAAGAGAAGTATAGTAAGCTTTATCCGCGGAGGAGAATTAATTTCCCCCTTTTACAGAACAAAAGGAGTGAGTTAATTTGCCAACAGTATGACCCGTATGGTGGGATGGTGATAAGAGCAAAGGGGGGAAGTAACGGAAATATCAAATCAGGTGAAGAACAAGGGGGGGATCCATTGGTATTCTTAAAAGGCACTGATAAGGGTGGCACAGAAAACATCATTTGTGATGATCATGGGAAGGTGATGCTAAATGGGGGTTTACCATATGTTGATTTTCCATTTACGTTTAGCACGACGAATGGAGAGTCTCCCCCCAATGGCATAAAATGCGAACAATTGAAGGACAATCAAATGAACCCACTGGAAAAACCCCAAACGGTGCGTCGATTTGAGAATCGCTATGGAGGAGGAAAAAGTGGACACTACGCAGAAGAAGCTGCAAATGGATTGGTTTTAAAAAATGTGGATGCTTCAAGAGCGGATTTGTTGCATCCTTCGAACAACAGGAGCAACGACAGAGAAGTGAATCGTTGGGATGTCCTGGCAGGTGCACTACGAGATGGAAGATTTAATGGTGGGTTTTTTAGGGCAGCACCGAATTGTTTTTTAAGTAAGGGCGCTCCAGAAAAGGCCAGCAACGAAGATGTGCACCGTTTTGAGGCCGACAGGATGATGGCGGCAGCGGAGGTTTTTTTGAATAGGGACTACTTCGACGTGTGCGGCAATGTACCTGTTGTAGAAGGGGACACGGTGTTCAACGGAGTGATAAGTGAAGTGCCAAGAGGCGGGCACAGCGAATGGCTCAGTAGGGATAGCCGGAAGCGGGATAATAAAAAAGGGACCGTTCTTAAGAATGTCCACATATTGAGAGAGTACGGCGAAAGGTTTCCCCACCGTGGGTCAGAAGAAGGGGGAGTTGCATATGAGAAAGCAGTGGATGGAAATACAAGCAGAGTGGACAGCCTTCTGGACAGATATTGTTTATCCCTTTTTGGAAGTATGAAGATTAGCGATTTTATGCCTATGCATTGTGGGGGCACGCAGATAGAGCAGGTCCTTTTCGTGGAGCCCTACCATGAGTACGCCTGTTTGAGTTTACACGTAAGTGGATGAAGATGGTGTGTGTGTGTGTGTGTGCCTGCACGCGATAGCGTTTATATCATGTCCATCCGCCATCGTCTCCCTGTTTTTGCACCGCCCTGCAGGACCTTAATATGAACCGAGCAAAGGATGTCAACCAAACCATACATTTTAAGAAGCTCATTTTGAAGTACCTGATTATGGACTTATTTCACAACATAAGTGTGCCAGAATTTTCTAAAATGACAAATGATAGAACCCATTTTTTTGTGAACCCACAGAAATATGCATCTAGTTACCCCCTTACAAATGAAGTAGACAAAAATAGAGACCTTCTGCAAAGGGTTGAGAAGTACCATTTAAAATGTGTTAATAATATTTATGACATGAAATTTGTTCAGCTGTACTGGGATGTGTTCATGACTTGCTTGGTGAAGAACGTCACGGCGAGTGTGTTGCCCTTCGAAGAGCATTGCATGGTTATGCGCTCCCTGCTGCTGCTTTACCTGGAAAGCTGCTCTTCCGGGGGACAGAAGTGTTCGTAGCGGTGTGGAGTACGCTGTGGTGGTCATTTTGGGGAGTACTCCACTTGGGGGGAACTTTATTTCGTTCCACTTTCGTTAGTACATGCCCAAGCCATGTTACTATTTTTTTTTTTTTTTTTTTTTTTTGCCCCCTTGGTTGGCTTTCACTGGTGGACGCAGAAGTATGGGGGCGACTCCGGCATAAAGACAAAAGCATAGAAATATATTATACATGTTCTACATACCTGCGTACACGAGTGCGTGCCAAGTGGGAGGGGGCACTGCTTCCATTCGTTTTTTTGTCGAGTTTGTTTCCGCGGGGCCTCCTCGCAAGTTGCCCAGTGATTGATGGGCGGATGGAGCGACCGATCAGCCCCAGTTTGTCCGGTTGTCCTGTGTCGCCTATTTTCCCAAATGGAACCTACACAAAAAGGCTGCATGCATATTCTATCAGCATTTCCGCAGATTTTATTCTTATTTTCTGCGTATTTTTGTTCCGTGTAACTCGGTGTAAAAGTTTTCCATTTCACTTATGTATCATTTGGAAATAGAAATTGGGCGATTTTACTTCTGTCCGCTGGTATGTTTCCCCGCGTAAGCTGAAAAGGAAAATATGTTGGTGTTTTTTGCGGAGTGCCGATTCTATTTGTGCGCCAACGTGGGGAAAGTTTTTTCCAAAAAACGGGAAATTTTGTTTTTATTTGTTTTTTTTTACACAGGCGAATTTTGTTGGTTTTATTTCACCAAACGGGGTATTTTTTTTTTTTTTTTTTATCCCCAATTTTTTTTGTAGTTTTTAAAGGGCGTTATAAATTGGTGTAAAAAAGAAAAACAAAAAAAAAAGTCTTCTCAATTTTTTTCCCCCTGAAGTTGAATAGCGCATTGCATAATCCCCGGCGCGGCGAGAAAAATTCCCTTGGTGTGTGCGACCGGCAAGGGAACGGGAAGCGAAGCGATAAAAAAAGTTGCCAAAGACGCGCAAAACTAGGCACCCAACCAGACACAAGTGATCAGGACGCCCCCACGCAGAATGGATAAAAAACAGGAAAAGAAAATTAACCGGAAAAAGGAAAAAGAGAAGGAGCAGGAAAATGCGCACAGTTACTTTTCGGACACTGTGACGGTAAGGCCACATGGGGGGAAAATGTTATCATAGGAGGAGCTGGACTTGACGGTCCACTCCGTCGATGGGGTGGAGAGATCACTGCGTAGAGCTTGCCTCCTTTGGGAAGCATCATCTTGGTTACGCCTTTCCCGGTTTATTTATCTTTTGCGCGATTTTTTTTTTTTTTTTCCTGTCCATTACTTGGTTATATGTTCACATATTTTTGATTGGTTTTCGCTCGCTTGTCCCTTTATCCCCTGCACAGTTCTGTGGCACGCTGGTCCGGGATTCCATGGCCAGCGCAGCGGAGGCTATACAGAATAACTATTACCCGATTAAGGAGTCCATTCTGAATATCTACGACAGTTACTTTTGCGATAATTCTCAACACAGCAGTAGGAGGGTGAATGGCGGTGTCCCTTTCTTCACCGTCCATCAGGACAGTTCAAGGAAGAAGTAGAGTTTTTTTTTTTTTCCTAGTAATAAATGCGTGGGCCATAAACACACATTTGGTCAAGGACACCTTGTGGGTGAAATGTGTAACTTGACCTGTTGAACGCCAAGGGTCGGGGATACGAATAAACCAATGTGTTAATTTTGTTAATATAAAAAAAGAAAAGAAAAGGATATGGTGGGAACACGAGATGTGTTAACAAACGAAGGATGGGGTGGAGCTGTATTTACTCCCTCAGCAGAAGACGCCGCCTACATACAATACATAGAAGACAGAAAATAGTGACATTTGTATTTTAAAAGCGAAGGAAGAGAATTGTTCAAATAGCGCCGCTCAACAAGTTCGAAATGGGGGGCAGGCAAAAGGTGGCCCCCACTGAGGCTCTCTTTGTCTGCCACCTTGAAACTGAAAAAAAAAAAAACATGGGAACTCTAGCACGGCGAACATGTATGTGCAGATGACAAAAAAAAAAGTAGATACGTATGATGGCTGTCCACTTGGGGGGAATGATTACTTCTGGTTGTGGATACGATGTTGATAGTTATTTGGGTAGCATCACCAGGCCGCTGCTTAGCTGCTGCTTAACTTGTGGCCAGTCAGCCCTTGAGCCACTCGTTATTTTTGATGATCTCGCGATCGCGCTCGCCGTAGTCGATGAGGAGCTCCTCGCCCTCCTTGATGTTGCGGGCGGCGACGAAGAAGAGTCGAGGGCGGCTGGCAACGGTGAGTACCTTGGGAATGAGGTTGGCATTTTTCTTGGAGTGATTAACAAGTCTAGCAAAGGATCTCAGGAAGTATTTTTTGTCTTTGTTATTGATAGCCGCATCGATATTTTCCTCGGTGCCGTCAATACAGTACCTTTTATTTTCATGCTTAAAGTAAAACATATAACATCCCTTCTTTTTATTTCTATTATATTTCCGTTCGCGTTCCATTGCCTCCTTATGTGTGAGTAACTCTCCAACATATTCAAAGACAAAATCAAATTTGTTCAAATCGCTAGCTGCGTAAATACATCTCCCCTTAACATCATCAAATATTATGTTGATACATGCGAACATGTTCATTTTAAGGTTTTCCGCATATATGATATTTCTACTTTGTTCTTTTAAAAAGGAAAGAGGAATAGTATTTATTTCATTTTTTTTGTCAACAAATAATTCAAGCAGCTTCTGCTTATTCAGTTTGTTTATGGTTCGATCATACTCATACTTTTTGTAGTTCTCTGTTTGTATGCTCTTAAGTCTTTTTAGCTTGGCAGCATTCACATTTTGTAGAAATTTATCCATGAAGGATACGTAGTCTTTCAGCTTCATGGTTTCTATTTCTTTGAGGTTTTCTTTCTTGACTTTCTTTGTACTTTTGAATCGTCGCATCCCCGTTGCTGTCTTTGCGCCTGATTCGTACACCTCCTCGGAGGAGCACTCGGAGAGGCTATCGGATGAGCACTCAGTGGAGCAATCCGGTTGGAAATCCGCTCGGTCACCCTGCTGATGACCCAGCTGCGAATCGAACTTGGCATGACCCAGTCGCTCCACCAAGGGCGCAAACCCTAGCTGGATATCAAAGGTGGGGTTCCCATCGAGGAAGGTTATGTCATAGCGTCTACAAAAGTGGGTGTACATTTTGTCCAGATGCAACTCCATATCGTAGGGGTCATTTTTGAAGTGCACGGAAAGGTTCCAGAGGAGGTCAGGAGAATAGGTAGATATGTTGGACAGCTTCAGATACTCTGGGTTCCTCATTAGGCAAATAAGCATTTGAAGCAGGTCGTCCTTTTTTAGTACCCTAATTTTATCATAGTCATCATATGAGTTGTCATCAAATTTTATGTAGAGTGAATCTCCTTCCTTTATCTCTTTTACGCTAGTTGGATTTTTTTTATTGTATGCATAAAATATGATTCCATTGTCGGATGGGTTATGGGTTGTGAGGTGTGTCGTCATGGTTTCCCTTTGTGATGAATTGGTGGAGGTTTCTTCTGGTTCTGCTGCTGCTTCTACGGCGACGTCCCCTCGTTGTCCCCCCTTTGGAATCATTTTTGTTAAACTGTTCTTCATTGAAGTAGCCCTTTGTTCGGTTTCCTTTTTGTGCGTGCAACTAACATTTGCCTGAAAGTTGACTTGGTTTTTTCCTGCGCCTATTGGCTTCCTAACATCTGTGGTGATGCGCGTTTGATATTTCCTCGGGAGATATTCCCCGTTGCACCTGCGCAGGTATATTTTAAACTGGTTCAATATGTTCAGGTGTTCACTCACCTCGTGACTCATCTCGTCACATGGAGGGATAGACAAATCGTATGCATGATCGTCGCTCTTAAAAATATTTTTCTTGTCATTTAGGTCATCCTTGCTTTCGATGATATATATTTTGTAATTTTGTTTATAGAATCCTTCAATTCGTTTAAAGTTCTTAGACAGAGAATTCAAATGCGACTTCTCTTTGTTCAAAATACTTTTTAAAATTTTATTTATATACATCGTTTGTGTTTCTCTGTTGTGATCCTTTCTCCTTTTTATTTTTTCTATTCCTTCTTTTTGATCAAACGGTTCTGATATTATATTCTTAAATTGAGAGTAGTATTTTTCTACATTTTCTTGGTACACCTTTGTGTTCTGGTTTAGGGTTCTAAGGGTCTTTTTGTCATGAATGAACAGTGCATTAGTTTTTATTTGTGTTTCCTCCTTCTCTTGTTTTTTTTCTGAGGGGTCTACTACTATTACTGGAGCGCTCGCCATGCCATCCACCTCTTCCTCAACGTCGAAGCTGTGGAATTCTGTGTCTGAGTCTCCTGCGTTGACTGTTCGCACGTACGCCTTGCTCTCCGCTGGTATGCACGAATTGATGATGTTGTCCTCTGCGACTTCCTCTGCACCTGATTGCGCGTGGCCACCCGGCGGCTGCCTTCCGTTGGGCGAATAGACATTCTTCATCTTTGTAACCCGATTTCTGCTAGCAGTGAACGCGGCGTCGGAGATGACGAAACTTCCGCAGGGGCCATCCCCCTTGTCGCCCCCATTGTTGTCTCCACTGTCACGTACACAGCCCAGAGCCTCCTCTTTCTTTTTCCGTTTATTCTCTACGTAGGACTCTGCATGGTCCATCGCGCAGACCGAATTGCCCCTAGATGTACTTCTATCGTCGTCATCAAGGCCGCAATTCGTTTCGTTGCTGCTGCTTTTGTAATAGAACCAGTTCATCCTTTTACGCCTCTTCCCTGTTTGATTGTCAGAGCTAGCTAAGCTCTCCCTCTTATTGGAATCTAAGACAGATTCGCTCCTTCTATTTGAGGACAGCAGCAAGAATTCATCGTTTGAGATGTCCAATACATTTTTATCATTTTCTTGATCTAACATAAAAAAGGACCTCTTTTGTACCTTCATTAAATTGTGAATATTTTTCCTGGTAGCCTCGTTGTCTATAAGAGACAAGTGGCTAATGCTGTCCACGAGATTTGAGTCAAAGGTGGGGTCACACATTTCTTTTTTAAAACTGTGGGGATTGATCAGGCTCCTCCGCTCACAGGAGAAGACTCTATTACTGTTTTGGTAGATGTCTACATTTCTGTTCCCACTACTGTTGCGATGGTTGCGATTGCTGTTGTTGCTGTTGTAGCTGTTGAAAGTGAGGAGATGGCTGCTCAGGGGGAATCCTTTACCTTTGCTGAGGTACTGGTTTTTGTTTTTCTTCTTTTTCTCCACGCTCTCAATTTTTATATTCAAGCGGTACCATTTTATTTCGTTTTTGGAGTAGAGGCCTTTTTCGAAAAGGGGATGCCCACTCGAGATTCTCCCCTTAAACGCTTCGAAGGAATTTCCACCAGCAGATCCATCACCCCCACCTTTTGATTGGTTCTCCTTCATGACGTTATTCTTAAGATCATTAAGGTACAAATATTTTATGTAGTCCTTGTTATATATGGTCAATTCTCTGTTCACGTCCTTGTAAGTGTCCGTGCCTAGCTTAGAGTAACTGGTAACCCTAACGTTCTTCTCATCGTCATTTCGATTATATGCACAGTTATAGATGGACGTGTACATGTAGACGTCGTCATCATATTCGTTAAGTTTGTTAATTTGGTATCTTCCATTTATGTCTGAGCAGATGTTTAATTTCTGTGTTTTTATTTTTGACTTTTCAAATAAGAAGTGGAGGCTCCAGAAGTAGTAGCGTTCGTAGATGAGAAGGGGGATTTTGTTGTTGTCGGACTCGTATAGAGCCTGTCAGGAGGGAAAACAGAAAATTAAAAAAATAAAATAAAAAACCATGACACGATGAACGGATGAAAAGATGAAACTTTGGGGGAACTTCTACACAACATGTGCAGAACGAGGTGATGACATTTTCCCAAATGGGTTGACGCTAAGCAGTTCGTTAGGCGCACACTCGTCACCTCTCCCCTGCTCGGCTGGACACCTACCGATATGTCAACGGCAATGTTGCAGCTGTTGTCATCAAAGAGTAGGAAAATCTTGGAGAGCATTGCTCCTCGTTCCTCCTCGTTCTTCTGCTTCAACGGGTGTCTGCTCAAATCGGAGACGTACTTTGACAGATCTGAATACAGGGGGATGTGAATAATGGAATCTAATTTTTCCTTTTCTATCCATATTACGGATGCCGCATTTGTAAAGGTAGTTTCAGAGGCACTACACTTGTTCCCGCTGCAATTTCCACTGGTGTCCGCGTTCGCGTCCGCAAAACTGTTCGACGTTGACGTTTTCATTTCCCCTGGTGGTTTTCTGTCCAGTCTAATTATGCCCCAGAATTTGCGGCCGTATGGAAAATATATCTGCGTACATGCACATGCATGAGCATATATATATGCATAGGTATGTGTACTGCACGTAAGTGCTATAAGTATGTATTTTTGTGGCCCTCTTCCTTTTTTCACCAAGGAGTGGGGAATTCCCAAGCTGTATAACTGTACTACATTGGGTGTAGCTGAAAAGTTGTTCAGATCCAGGCAAATTAAAAAAAAAAAAAAAGAAATTATTTCCCTTTTTGTGCCAAAATGGTGCCTCGATCCGCAACGCTTGTTCGTTTCGAAAATCAAATTGGTATAAAAAATATAAGTGAGCAACAAAACGGGGGGAAATAAAAAAAGAGGGAAAAATTCGTGAGCAGTGACGGAAAAATTTATAAAAGGCAAGGAGAAGTGGGCACGCAGCTGCTGTTATGTGGCCGCTACATGACGGCAAACGGTGGGCACTAAAGGAAACGCGAAAATGAGAGATCCCTTCTGATGATGCGCACGGACGGGGGTTATTAAAATAAAAACATTTGGGAGTAATTTACGTACACCTTTCGGTCTCGTTCAATGTTTAAAAATAAGCAATGAAAAAAACGGGGCGGTGCAGGAAAAAAAAAAAAAAAAAATGAACAAGGGAAAAGGAAGAATAAAAAGAGAAAGAAAAGGGTGAAGCAAAAGGTGGTCATCCGAAATGGCAAATAAACAGACACATCAACAAAATAGCACAAAACTGAAGCTATGCAGAAAAAGGACTATATAAAACTGAAGCGACAGTATGACGAGTGGCAAAACGATGAAGCGCCAAAATAGTGAAAATTCCGAACCAACATACCAACTTTTCTAAATTAAAAAAAGAAAAGGCATATATCCTTCTGTATGCGTAATTTTGTACACGTTTTTTTTTCCTTTTTGTTTTTTCCCATTACGTACAGCTCATTTGTGGGGCAAGAAATTACACACCCTGTTGGTTATTCATGCAATTGCACATGTAGCACATACTTGAGCGTCTGTCTGCATTCGTGTATGCTGTATTTTCGATCAGAGCCAATTGGTGAATGCAAGTAGACGAAATATGTGTTAAACGGGGGAAATGCTTACAAAATGTAGTTGACAGAGATTCCAAGTTTATTTTATTATTATTTTTTTTTTTTTACCTATAGGTTGTTTTTCACTTTTCCATATGCGGTAATATAAATCGAAACATCCTGTTGTACATGCATTTAATTTTAAATTAAAAAAGGCAAAAAAAAAAAAAAAAAAAAGCAAAACGGAAAAAAATAAATTCACACAGCTGGGGCGGCCTTTCGCCAAACTGGGAACAACTGGATGTGAGAAAAAAGGTTAGCAATTGTCCTTATTTAATTTTTGTACATTTTACCTTATTTGCGCTCATATGTATGACAACTGGAAATTGCAAATAAGAATGGGCCTTCCCTTTTTCGTTTGTTTTAGAAAAGTTTTCCATAAAAAGGGAGTGGTAAAGCAGCGAAGCATGTAACTCGCCTCGGGCCTCGTGTTTTGTGTATGTAGTGCGATTATGATGACTGCCGTTTAAGCAACAAACGCGAACGCTTCATCAATACATTGCCAAACGCTCAACAATTTTGTTCGGTGGACGAGGAAAATTTCGCACGCCGTGGTGGTCTAAGGACACGTTTGATTAAATTACCAAATTTGGAACTACGTCCACCGTGTACGTTTCGGACGTCGCCACATAAGTTTGTGTAATTTTAGAGGCAAGGATAAAAAAATAAATTGAAAAAATGTACATGCAAGACCATTTGTTTAGACACTTTTACAGCGTTGAAAAGGTGAGCCATGGGAAGAAATAGAGTACATAAAGACATTTGTATCATTCGGACAAATTCTGCACAGGAGTGTAATTTTCCACTTCCTCTGAGTCGTTTTACTATTTTGTGATCATTCATATGTACCCCGACTGTACCCCCTTTTGGACAACCAAATGAATGAAAGGTTTTCCGTATAGGGAACCGGGAATGCACAAAAAAATGTGTTTCGGCCTTTGCGGCAATGGCGCATTTTTATTATCCTTACAAGGAAGAATTCTCCACATTTGTCATTATGCACATTTAGCCCTTCTTTGTACATTTCGAAACATGTCTTTGATTGATCTAGCAGCTATTTCCCAACTGGTTACCAATCGTGTGCCAATTGTTCATGGTGTACACACCATTTGGGTTGCTTCTTTATGGCAAAGCGGAAGAAAACGGAGCGCAGCGAAGTTTCCCTCCTTTTTGCAAAACCATTCGGTTAATTCACACTGGTACATGTGTGTACTAATCCCCATGTGTACTTACGCGACGTGGCAAGTCAACATTCCTGTGCTTCCCACTCGGAGTGGATGAACGACGTGGTATAAAATAAAAGAGGTTTACGCTTTTGGGGAGTAATTTTGTCCCTATTTGAGAAGTACGTAAATGTTGACAATTTTTCACCCTTACAAAGAAAGTGGTGTGATAAAAAGGTATTTTAAAAAAGCGTTGCATGCGTGGTGTTGCCATGTGTACCATTTTTATCGTTGTTTAATGGGTCTTTTAAAAAGTACCCCACATATTTTTTAAGAATATATTTTCTGTCACGGCAGATCAGTAGCGCTTACAAATTTGTACAACTCCGTTGTGTCATAGTGGTTTTAACATGCAAGCTATGGGAGGGTGTACCAAAATAAGTGCTCACAAAAAACAAATATGAGGGCAGATGGGGCGTACATAATGCCGATCTTAGCGCACTGCATTTTTTTCATAGTTGTGTCCAAGATTACCACTTCCACATCGCTGCAGCATAACTCTGATGTTGAACGAGTCACATGCAGCACATTGAGTTTTGTTACGCACTGTAAGGCACCATGACAATACACGCAAGAATTGCACATTAACGAATGCATATACAAATTTATGTAAAAGGGTTATAACACACTTCGCGCTATGTTCTGTTCTGCAGTGTATCAAAAAAAAAAAAATTATTCATTCACGTTTATACAAGAATGGTTCTATTTCTTTGTGTTTGCTCAAAGCTGCGCGGTTTACGTCGGGCTGGTTGTCGTGCACATGATGGCCTTTAAATGTAAAAGTAAATAAGAGGCTATACACATAGCGCAATAAAGTTATGCATTTTTTTAAACTTTTTTTGCAGAAATGGTAATTTAAAAAAGGCCTTTTTTTCTTCGCCCTTGGTACGGAGAGAAAGCGAAATTACGCCCTTTTTAAAATGGATAAAATTTATACCCCCACTTTTTTCTCAATAAAAATGTAAAAAAACTGTTTCATTGTGACCAAATTTGAACTTTCCAACCTACGCATTAATGGCAAAGCGATACGCAATTAAGTAG